GGGTCCGGCCCTTGCGCCCCCGCCGCCGTCTGTTCCCCGCCTCTTCCCCGCTGGCCCTGCCGCAAGGTCCGCAGTTGGAGCGCGCGGGAACTTCCCCGCCCTGCCTGAAGCAAAGGACGAGCCGCGTTCAAGAGCCTGGAGGGACCCTTTAGGCCCCCGGGAACCCCTCAAAACCCCAAAAAAACAATAACAATTAATCTAAGCTCTCCGTTTGCAAAATCAGGCCTTCTGCACCCATTTGGCCAAGGGTCCTACACTCAAAGGCAAGGGAGCTTCCCCATTGCTTGGAGACCATCAGGGGGTTCTGGCAGTTCTGGGTTCAAATTCTGACCGTTCGAGGACCCCGCAATCCCCCAAGGCGCCCTATCTGAGGAACGGGAAGAATTTACTGACCTCTGAGAGTCGGTAAAATTGAGATGTGAAGTGACGAGAACACAGTAAGCGCTCAATAGATGTTAATGTTATTGTCATTATGGCAGGGGTTTCGAATCCTAACTCTGCCGCTGACTGTAGGCCCTGTCGACCCTATGGGTGCTGAACCTCAGTTTCTTCCAGTAAAATATGGACAAGCCGCTTCTTGGCGGGCAGCTGTGAGGATCGATGGGGTCTGCAAGTACCCCGTATGCAGGTGGCGCTTCATAAATGCAAGCTCTGCCCTTCGAAAGGGCGGAGACCTCACGGGCACTACTCTGAGGTTCCCAGGCTCCGGGCTCTGGGCCAGGAGCACTCCCTAGCGGCGAGGCCTGCACGTTTGGCGCCCTCCTGGGATCCCAAAGCACGAAGGCTGCAGATACCTTGGTTACCTGTGGCCCTGGGAGGTTTCTGTTGTCCCAGAGAGCCCGCTGCAGTGTTTTCTCTCTTACTTTTTTTCTTTGAGCGACTCTCTGGGAATTTTAACAGAGAAAGAGAAGAAAACGAGGAAGAATCAAGACAATCCAGATCCTGTCCACTACTCACCCATCTATAAGCCCCACTTGGTCCAGTCCCCATCATCTCCCACCTGGACCAGTGCAATCACCTCCTCCCAGGTCTCTCCTCACAATCAGTTCCCCCCACAGCGGCCAGAGGGCGCCTGAGTCAGGTCACGTCCCTCCTCTGCTCAGAACCTTCCATGGCTTCCACCTCACTTAGGGTGAAAGCCCAA